CGAGGTCGAACTTCGGCGCAGCTGCGCGAGCCATAACTTTGGGAATAGAGATAATTAGTGGGCTTGCACCAGCAATCAGTACTTTCTCAATCTCACCTTTCTTGTTATACCATGGAAAGATGTAGTAAACCAGTAAAAACGTGGCAGGTATACCAGTTACGAATTGCAATGCTAGCACACTGGTGACCTTCAACAGTTTTGTTTTGCTCTAGATTTGTACAAGTATGATGTGCTTGGCTATAATCAAGCTGTTGCTAAGCACTATTGAGGCAAATAGAACATTTCGTGGGTAAGACATCCAGGGGCATTTATAGATGCCGAATACCTGTAAAAATAGTCGATAACAGGCGTCCATGAAGGCAGCGAGGAGATTGATCGTTAAAAGGTTGAGTTCCTTCATCGTTGAACACCCAAACATGCACAGCATAAGAAAAAAATGCCAAAAGAATCCTTCAACGGCCTGTCCGGTGACTCGTATACTCTGGATCATTTTTGGCATACTGTTCCATCTGAATGTCTTTTCGTAGCACAAATCCGCTATGTTGAAATCTAAAACCCCAACAGTTATCGCGAGTAAAGCAATGCTGGAACCCCATAAGAAATGCATCGCAAACACCGTTTTGAAACACATCACAAACGACTTCCAAGGGACAGGCCGGGAGAGCTTCCACGCCATACTACCGGAACATCCAGGCGGAGGATCGAATTCCTGGAATATTGTGTCGCTAGCATTTTCAGGATCAAACTTTGTAAAGTCGTTTAAGGCGTCAGTTTCTGGAAGCAGTTCCACATCCTGGCTGTCACTGTTATTTATGTCTTCCTGATCTTGTCTGCAATGAGTTGTAACGGAAGAGTTTTCAAGAACGCTTCCCGTGAAACTTTCAGCTATGTAGACAAAAAATGCCACTAAGGCTTCCAACATGATGTTTCGCTTTACTTGCCTAGTTGCTGAAAATGTCAATTCTCTTTCCGCGAAACTAAAAGCCAAAGCCGGAAGAATCTTCAAGCCCTTGGATGCGCACGCACACGCGTGTTTCGCTAATCTACTAGGATTAATCTGCAACATACGCGTGTAGCCGATATATACGTTGTGGCTCAATTTTATAATTTGTTTAAATTTTATTTTATTTTTGTTCAAACTCATTCGCATTCATTATCATACCAAAAAACAAAAGAAAATAAAATTTACATGACCGAGGAGACTAAATTGAAGCACTACATATACACTGTATATTTGTGTTAAGGAGGGGAAGTCTATCTAGATCTCTTTTGGCATAATTCGTCACTACGACCATAATTCTTTATATATTTTCCTGTGAAAGCACTGCCAGCATAACTTGCACTTTTTGGCCCGTTTTGAAGCTCAAAATTGTCATTCACTGATCATGGAACCAAGGTTTTTTGGCCCCGATACAAGTGTTACGGTCACAGTTTGAGTTTGTAATTATCGTGAATTGTTGTCACATTCTTGGGACCGTGACTTCTTTTCTGCGGGATTCAACGCATGCACATAACTCAGGATAACTACTGTAACTCGGTTATCTAAGATGGCGTCGGCTTGCTGGTTGTTAATTGTTTCTTGTTTGCGTTTTTAAAGAGGGTCTCAATTGGGGTGGGGGGAGGGGGGTGAGGGGTGTCAATATGTCGGTTGTCGGTTAAAATTTCATTACTTTGTCGCTTGTCAGTTAAAATTTTCGACCTTTGTCGGTAGTCGGTAAATCTAGGTTAAGGATTAAAAAAAAGAAGTTACTTATTAATATTCGTTATTTAAAGTTTACAGTTTTACAAAAAGTCTATACAAAGGTACAGTCGACTCTCGATAACTCGAACCTTCAAGGGAAATCGAAAAAGGTTCGAGTTATCGGGAGCTCGAAAAAAATAGCCGGGAGCAAGGAAAAACAGTTTTTACTGGACAGAGAACATTTTAATCACATTTAACTGTAGAAATGTCGAGTGAAAATTAAAAGATAACCTTGCTTAAATAGAGCATGCGTTTTACTGTTTTGAGAAGTAAAGCTGTTTCACGTTAGATTCGTGACAAACAACATCAGCCTCCAATAATAAACTATATGCCTACAACACGTAAATGGGAAATTCAAGGTTCAATGTTTGGGACGTCAGTAGACTATTTTCCCGACTTTTAAGGGCTCAAAACATGGTTCGAGGTATCGAGGGTAAAATTATATAGAAATGGTCAGAGGGGAAACAAAAACTGCTTTGAGTTAGCGGGAGGTTCGAGTTACCGAGGGTAAAATTACAGTTATGTATGACGGAAATCCAGGGGAAATTGATTTTGGTTCGGGTTAGCGCGAGGTTCGAGTTAGCGAGGGTTCGAGTTATCGGGAATCCACTGTAACACTTCTTCATTCCGCGTGGATTAATCATTTGATTACCATGGAACCCTATCTTAAGGTATCATCCACCCTCAAGCACCCTCCCCGCGTTGATCGGCGCTAGCGCTTTTGCTTTTAATAAATACCCCCATAAACCGTACATTTTCTGGAAGCTTAATAGTTCCAGATTATTGCTTATTCCTTTTAAAAAATCAAAATATTAACGCGATTCAGAAATGAGAAGCTTTTTGTGAAAGTGGGTGTCGCTGTAAATTTAATTCCAGGCCAGCCAAAAATAAACGGAAGAAGCCAATTAAGATCGCATTCGCTTCTTAACACGTTTGATTAAAAAACCGTGTCTCAGATTTTTGTCAAGTGGGTTTGTTCTTTTGTTATAAGCAGTTGAAGTTAGGGATAGCAAATCATTAGCACCACCTGTGAAAAAAATACTCTTACTCCAGAACGAAAAAAGAAATCAAAATTCGCAGACACGGTTTTTTAGAAAAACTATCTGACAGCAAGTTGGCCAAATTTCAGCCAAATTGGTTCACGGGTTGCCGACTTGGAGTTTAAAACGTACCCTCAACTTGCCCTGATTTTCATTTCGAGAAAACAGGGGAAAAAGAGTTTTGGCGGCGTATTGCCCGTGACGAGATTATAACAGATTATAACACCAAAGCTGTCAATGTTGATGCATACCAGAAAAGGGACAACAATAGTGACACAGCAGGAAAAGGCAACAACAGATGAACAATTTATTTCAAACGCTCTGCTCTGTTCGATCCTTCTGTTGTCGAGAAAGCATCTTTAGTTATTTGCGACGAGCAGTTTTCATTTTGAGCCAAGCCAACTTTTACTCGATACATGTTTCTAAAAGATCGACACTTCCCTGGAAAAATCGACAACAAACCGCTTCCTGGTGTTTTTCTTGAAGCTGCTCTCCCGCTACAATAGACTTTCAAAAAAGTCCTTCGTCCGATTTTTATATGGCACAGGACCGGTCGCGAATTTGTCGCTCGCTTGGCCGCTTCGCGGCCTAAAAAGCTCGCTCCGCTCGCTAAGAAACTCGTGAAACTCGATTTCGCGGTAGTTTCAATGGGTTTTTCAAAAGCTTTGTCATCTTTTAGCCATTTCTCGTGATTGTAGTAGGAGCCCTCGTCGCTCTCTGCTAATTTCGAAACCCACACTTTGCAAACCGATTTTGCCGTCTTCTTTCGTCTTGGAGTCAAGGATGAAAACGGACAAGCTCTTTTTTCTTCTTTGGAGGCATTCACTTCCAAAATCCACAGAAAAGCAGTGAGCACTATACTTGTAGACGACGATTTCTGTCAAATTGCGTGATTAGCTTTGTCCAACGTAAAAAACAGCGGCATGCGTATCAAGTATGACAGGACTTGTCAGCGATCAATTAAACTAATTAGCATAGAAAAAACTTTTGAGCTCCATAAGTCTGCACAGAAAAAACATTTTTTCCTGGAATTTTTTGTAAAAGAAAGCTTTTGATGAGCTCTACTTAATCATCTAAAAATTGAAAATTTCGAAAAATGATGGTTTTTTACCCTGGATGATACCTTAAG